GATCAAATCCTGCCCAATAGGAGTCTTGCCACTGACTACAGTAGGACCAGAACTTGGACTTATATGCAAAAGCAAAGTAGACTTCTCCCCATGCATTAAACTAGACCCCCAAATGCTGCATAAAAGGGAGGAAGCATGGTCTACTGGTTAAAGTATAGGATTAGAAGTCCCACTGTGCCATAGGTTTGCTGGGTGACCTCAGACAAGCTTTATAGGTGAAAATCTTCAAAGGTTAGGGATTTACATCGATTTTAGGTTCCTAAATGTAGACGTAAGCTCATTTACAGACATGATGAGTTCCCACTGCCCCAGGTGAAGACAAAAGGAGCTGTGGGTACTCAGCACCTCTGAAAATCAAACACCCAAGTTTGAAAACATTGGTCTTAAATAGGGAAATAGAAATGAGAGAATGTATTTGTAAAATAGGGAAACATGCTAACCTGACTTATAGGAATATTAGTCTTAGGTCCTATCTAAAGTACCCTGGGAACCTCAGATGTGTTTTCTGTTGTCAATTGCCCTCCCAAAACAGACAGCAATATTCCACACCCTCCCATATTCTGCACTGCATCTTCCTTAATCTCCTATCTGATTATTCCCTGGAAATAGTCATATTAATTACCAGTTGATTTGCATTCTTACAAGAAGGTCTGGATGAAGGTGTCTCTTCCATTCTGTACTGCAACTGGTGGCTCTTTGGATCAGCTGGTCCCCCTGGGACTCCAATCCAGAACCTTGCACATGTAAAGCAGACATAAGCACTACACTGATGGCACCTTACTCACTGATGGTGAGTTCCCTTGGGAATCAGCAACTGATGTTCCCCACGGATCATAACTGCTAGGATGGGGCAGAAGGGGAAAGATAGCTTCAGAAAATAACTGGGTCTCAGGTAACTTCAATAGGAAATGAACTGGCAGCCAGCACTGTGATCAGCATGGCCTGCTTAAAAGTCTAGCAGCTTCATTTCACACTAGCTAAAGCTGTTGAGGGGCCTTTACCTCCCAAATCCATTTCACCTGGGTCTCTTGCTACTACTTGGCCACTGCAGCAGGATGTCCAACATCTCTTCAGCATCAGTTGTGTGCTTGATTGGTGTGATTATGAATTAGTTTCTGGTGGGGAAGAATTAGCAGAGCCCTGATTTCATGTCCATATCCCTAGTAGTTGGGGGGGTGGGGTGGAGAAAGGGAGTGATGGGGAGAAGGGATATGAAACTATATTGCACTGAAGTTCTGCGTCTGCATGCACCAACGACTAGCAAAGCATTTTGTAAACATTTGCAGCAGAGTCTAGCAGATATGGACCTGGACTGTGAATACAACCTGGCTACTAGTCTCAGCTCTTGAGCTACTGTGTGACTGTGACCAACTCACTTCCCTTCTCTCTGCCTCTATTCTCCCCTCTGCCAAACAGGAGTAGTTTTACCAATCACTTGTGTAAAGTGCCTTCTGATCAGTGAATAAAAAGAGCTACAAAGAGCTAAGTATTAAGTCCTGGGAAGTAGGTAAGCACTACTCTCTATTACAGAGATAGGGAAGCTGAGGCAAGGAATATAAGTGACTTAGGGTACGTTTACACTGCAAGTTAGGAGTGTGATTCCCCAGCCCACATACACATACTCGCGGTAGCCCAGTGAGAGCTAGCATGTGTATAAATAGTGTAGCTGGGGAAGCATGGCTTAGTTATGTTGAGAACAAACCCGCCTGAACCCTGTGTCGGAGTAGAACCCATATCTCCTGATTCCCAGTCTTATGCTCTGGATCAGTAGATTAATTTCTCTGCAGAAGTGGGAGCATGGAAATGGGGGGAGGGAGGGGAGAGTTAAACCTCCACATCCTTATACCCCTAGGACTGAGTGTTCTAGGGTTACACACCTCCGATCTGTTGTCATTGGCCTCTTTCCCCCTTGCATCTCTCACCTCTGACTCCCTCTCGCTGCCTTGGCCCTCCTCTGCAAAGAAGCTGAAGGCAGGCCTCTCCCGCAATGAATCTGGTAGCCTTATGCTGCTGCCCCACCTGTTGTGGCTGCCACAGCCCTGCCCCCACGGAGCTGTACACACATTCCTGAGGTGGGCTCTATTTGGTTCCTGTTGTGAACTGGCATTGGGGTGAGGGGGAAGCAGACAGGCAAATGTGTTGCCTGGTAAGGGGAGGCAGAGCTGCTAGAACTCACATAGGGCAAAAATCCCTACTAGCTCCACTTCCCCACCTCCCTCCCTGTTGGCTCGACTCTCTGGTGGCTCCTCCTTAATGCCACATAACTGGTGATCCTCTAAGGTACACATGGCCCATGGACTACCCAGCTAGTTGCCATGGGCAAGCCCCAAAGCTTGGAACTGGCTCCCAATCTAAAGATCCCCAAATCTCACAGGGGCTGATTCTGGCCCATCTCCAGATAGAAGCCTCTCTATTGCCTCAATCTCACAGCTCCGCGGGACTTTCCTCGCCTGAGACAAATAGTCCCTTCTTCCCTGCTCAGGGTGCTCAGAGCAGAGGGAAGAGTATCCGAGGAGACTGGAGCCTCACCTAGCAGAAGCAGTGGGGACAAACCAGAGGGCCTCAAGGCCAGACTTGGGGAGGAAGCAGAAGAGCATGAGGAAGGTCAAAGGAAGGGATGGGAGATCCTGAAGCAACCACCCCATCCTGTCTCTGCTTTGCACTTCCCCTTCCTTGTGCCCCATCCTGTTAGTCTGCCCTGTCCCCACTATATTAATACTGAGCTCTACCTAGCACTCTTCACCCATAGATCTCAAAGCACTTTGCAAAGCAGAGCAGCATTCTTATCCTCATTTTACAGCTGGTTAAACTGAGGCACAGAGAAATAAAGTGACTTGTGCATAGTCACCCAGCAGGGCAGTGGCAGAGCTAGGAGTAGAACCCAGGTCACCTGAGTCCCAGGCCACTGCTCTGTCTGCTATGCCAGTGGTTCTCAAACTTATTTGATCATGCCCCTCTTCTTCGTGTCTGTAGTAGCTTGTGCCCTGTACAAGAGTTTGCTGGGGCTCGACCCTCTCCGGGGCGGTGGGGAGCCACACCGGTGAGCTTGGGAAATTCGTCTGGCCGTGGGGTCTCCCTCGGCAGCTCTTGCTATAACCGGAAGAACACGGTAAGCCCGGCCCTGCTCAGGGCGGGCAATAATGCTACGTCAGGAGCTCAGGCCCTCAGTCAGGACTGAGCAACAAATGAGTACAAAGTATTAAGCCCGGGCCCTAGGTCAGGGCGGGGCAACAAACACTGAGTCAAGAGCTCAGGCCTTCAGTCAGGGCTGAGCAACACTAGTAGGCCCCAAGCCTCAAAAGGCCTGGGAGAGGGGGAGACTGCCACTCACGGGTTGGGTAGCAGGGGGGACACAGGCCCTCCCACTCCACTGCGTCCCAGCCCGGGGTCCTAGCAGCGGCAGAAGACCCGCTGCTGTCAGTGGGGATCCTGGCCGCAACACACTGACATGGGCTCTGGCAGTGCTGCAGCCAGACTGGGGTCGGCTGCCCCCGGGCTACTTCCACACTCCCCCTCGGGGCCTACCTGGGTCCTGGTGTTGGCCTCTGGGGGATCCAGGACCATGGGTTCATCAGGGCAGGGATTGATCGGCAGGCCCGGCGGCTCCTCCGGATAGCGGGCGCAGGCCAGTCCTGGCGGCCGCCTTGGGCCGCGGGGTCTTCCCAGTCACGAGCTAGGCTGGAGACGTCTGGTCTCTCCAGCGGCTGGGGCCTGACTAAGCTGTGAGGGCGAGCTTTTATACTTCTGGGTCGCCGCCTGACCCTCTGAGGGGCAGGCTCAGAGCTCCCTAGCTCTTCCCCCTCCGGGAATGCCCCCATTGGCTGGCCAGCCAGCAGCCACCGTTCTCTGTTCGCCCAGCTTTGAAAGCAGAGTGCGTCGGCTGCTAGCTGGGCACCCAGCTCTGGTATGGCATTGGAACCCTGACTTCTCTGCTGCTGCTGACGGCAGCATTGCCTTCAGACCTGAGTGCCCGGCCAGCAGCCGCTGCTCTCCAGCTGCCCAGCTCTGAATGTGCACAGTAAATATTTTTCATAATTCTTTTTGCATCACCTCCAGAATACATTCCATACCTGCTGGGGACGCATGTCCCCCAGTTTGAGAACCTCTGCACTATGCCACTTTGCAGCCATCAGTCAGGTTGGTTCCTCCTTCTCCGTACTAGCTGGGCACTCATAGAGGGTGCATCATGAGCACAGGAAACACCGTCTCCCTGCTCTCAGTGCCAGGATCAGAGTCCCTGGTGACTGGGAGGAACCTGCCTGGCTCCAGCACAATGCACAAGGGGAGGGGTAACTGTCATGGGGGGCATGGCTGCTTTGTCCCAGCCCATGGGAAGATGGTGACACAGCAGCAGAACGACCCTTGTATGTGTGTGTGTTCGCTGAAAGCAAATCCTTGGGTGCTGGCTTCCTGAGCTCTAGGCTTGTTGGATGTCGAGGCTGTTCCTTCTCCCAGGATGGGAGAGAGGGCCTGTGGGAGGGATGTAGGAAAGACAGCAAGGTAGGGAAGGAATGGGAATGAGGAGGAGCAGAAGGAACTGGGAGGAAGGCTGGTCTTTTGGTTAAGCCAGTGGGCCAGAGTACAAAAGGTCTGGATTCAGTTCCCGTCTTTGCCGCACACTCCCTGTGTGACCTTGGGCAAGTCACTTAATTTCCCTATGCCTCTGTTCCCCATCTGTATAGCAGGGATGATCATCTTTCTTTTGGCTGCCTAGACTATAAACTCTTTGGGAGCAGGGAGTCCTGTGTGTTTACACAGAGCCTAGCATACTGGGGCACTGACCTTGTTGGGGTCTCTAGGTGCTTTGAGTCTCCTCTCACTGAGCTTGGTTTTAAGCTGGTCTAACTCCATTGAGCCCAGTCACTCTTGGCCTATAGTGGGGTACATGAGAAGAGCATTGGGTCTGTAAGCCCAACTATTTAGTGACACTTGGCATTCATGGTTAATTATATATTGTCCCCTGAGTGTTGATCTGTTGGTCTCTCTTCACTTTCTTGCAGAGCTATTGGACCAGAAGCCCCTGTACTGCTTCAATCTGACGTCCATGCAGGACTCAGAGTTGATCCTCACTGCCACATTCCACTTTTACTCGGACAAGCGCCCCCGGCACCGGGAAGTGTTCTGCAAACGCTCCAAGAACTCATCCTGCCGCCTCCTCCACTTGCCCCAGATCCCACGGCTCAGCCTTATTTTCCGAAGCATTCTCCAGAACTCCGCCTATGGGCTGGTGAAAGGCAATGTCACGGTGTTCCTCCACAGGCGAAGGGCTTGGCAGATGAAGGACATCTCCCACATCATAAAGGAATCTAAACGGGATGGTGAGCTCATCCTCTGTGTGGAGCTTGACTCTGGAGAGAAATACCAGGGCTTCCCCAAACAGCAAACCAATCACTTACCGTACATACTGGTTTATGCTAATGACCTGGCCATATCAGAACCCAACAGTGTGGCCGTGACTCTACAGCGATATGACCCGTTCCCTTCAAGCGATGGGGATCCCAGCCTATCCCCCAATGCCTCCACAGACACCCGGGTCAGGAGGGACATATTTCTTTCCAGCTCTATCCAGAACAACGAGCTGCCGGAGGTGGAATATAACAACAACAAATACAACAAACATGACATATGGGAAAGTGCCTACAAGTCCCTAAAACCCAAAACCTCACGCAAGGACCGGAGGAGGAAAGGGCAAGAAAACACAGAGGTGCTCTCAAAATCTCAGATGCTAAATTTTGATGAGAAAACCATGAAGAAAGCCAGACGAAAACAATGGAACGAGCCCAGGATTTGCTCTAGAAGATACATGAAAGTGGACTTTGCCGACATTGGCTGGAATGAATGGATCATATCTCCCAAGTCATTCGATGCATATTACTGTGCTGGGGCTTGCGAGTTTCCAATGCCCAAGGTAGTATGAGTCTCTGCTGCTGATGCACTTGTCTTTATTTGCAATATGTTGATTTAAGATTACTTAGTCCATCCAACTGCTCCTGCTACTGTGGGATTTTTCCCTTCTTCACAATGTTCAAGGGCTCTGTCCAATCTAGTTTAATGCAAATAACTAGCTCTTAAATGGTGCTTTTCATCCACAGATCTCAAAGCCCTTTTAAAAAGAGGTCAGTATCACTATATCCATTTTACAGTTGGGGAAACTAAGGCACAGAGAGGTGATGTGACTTGCCCAAGGTCATCCAGCTGGCTAGTGGTGAAGCCAGGAAACAAACCCAGGTCTTTTGAGTTCCAGTCCAGTGCTCTGTTCTCTATAGGGTTTCCACCAAATTATTTCGGAGCCTATTCTGAAGCCTAACAGATATCGCCATTAAGAAATTTTTCTTAATATGGATCTTCAACTTACACTTCACCCCAATATTTCTAGTTTTATGACCTCAAACCACAGCACACAGGCATACACAATGGATTAAACTATTATCACATGCACCAAATCTTCAGCTTGCTTTTGGATGGGAGGGAAGATTCTACATTAATGGGGCCCAACAATACATCGTACAATAGTGTTACTGCTGTGTTTTGAATCCCTTCTATAGAACTAGATGAAACTTATTAATAAAGTTCCAAGCTGAAGTCCTGTGGGAGCTTTGCCTTCTAGATTTGACCCCAGATGTACATTATGGTTATTATGATTTCCTGCTTTTCTTCGCTGCTAGAACCTGCATATGTGAAAGCAATCTTATATCTAACTCCTCATTCAGCACTACCAGACAAATGAGTTTTCTACACTGACTGGAGATGTCCTTCTACATTCAAATGTGTATATATCATCTGTGCCCTCAACAGGGCACCATAAGAAATAGCAGAAAATACTAGAAAGGATAATCTATGGAGTTTTTGTAAGATATGGAGATAATTTTGTAGAGACCTGGATTTTTAAACAACACACTTTCAAAGCAGGGCACAACTTATACAACTTCAGAAACCTGACAAATGTACATTTGTTGGGGGAAGAGTCCACATGGTTTTTGTAAAGGGAAATCATGCCTCCCCAATCCAATAGAATTCTTTGAGGGGGTCAACAAGCATGCGGACAAGGGCGATCCAGTGGATATAGTGTACTTAGATTTTCAGAATGCCTTTGAGAAGGTCCTTCACCAAAGGCTCTTAAGCAAAGTAAGCTGTCGTGGGATAAGAGGGAAGGTCATCTCCTGGATCAGTAATTGGTTAAAAGATAGGAAACAAAGGATAGGAATAAATGGCCAGTTTTCAGAATGGAGAGTGGTAAATAGTGGTGTCCAGGGTTCTGTACTAGGAGCAGTCCTATTCAATATATTCATAAGTGATCTGGAAAAAGGGGTAAACAGCAAGGTGGCAAAATTTGCAGATGATACAAAACTACTCAAGATAGTTAAGTCCAAAACAGACTGCAAAGAGTTACAAAGGGATCTCACAAAACTGGGTGACTGGGCAACAAAATGGCAGATGAAATACAATGTGGATAAATGCAAAGTAATGCACATTGGAAAACATAGTCCCAACTATACTTATAAAATGATGGGGTCTAAATTAACTGTTACCACTCAAGAAAGAGATCTTGGAGTCATTGTGGATAGTTCTTTGAAAACATCCACTCAGCGGCAGTCAAAAAAGTGAACAGAATGTTGAGAATCATTAGGAAAGGGATAGATAATAAGACAGGAAATATCATATTGCCGCTATATAAATCCACTGTACGCCAACATATTGAATATTGCATGCAGATCTGGACACCCCATCTCAAAAAGATATATTAGAATTGGAAAAGGTACAGAAAAGGGAAACAAAAATGATTAGGGGTATGGAACAGCTTCCATATGAGGAGAGATTAAAAAAACTGGGACTTTTCAGCTTGGAAAAGAGATGACTAAGGGGGATATGATAGAGGTCTATAAAATCATGACTGGTGTGGAGAAAGTAAATAAGAAAGTGTTATTTACTCCTTCTCATAACACAAGAACTAGAGGTCACCAAATGAAATGAATAGGCAGCAGGTTTAAAACAAACAAAAGGAAGTATTTCTTCACACAACACACAGTCAACCTGTGGAACTCCTTGCCAGAGGATGTTGTGAAGGCCAAGACTATAACAGGGTTCAAAAAGGAACTAGATAAGTTCATGGAGGATAGGTCCATCAGTGGCTATTAGACAAGATGAGCAGGGATGGTGTCCTTAGCCAGTGTTTGCCAGAAGCTGGGATTGGTCAACATGGGTTAGATCACTTAATGATTATCTTTTCTGTTCATTCCCCTTGAAGCACCTGGCATTGGCCACTCTTGGGAAGACAGGATACTGGGTTAAATGGACCATTGATCTGACTCAGTATGACCATTCTTATGTTCTTACATAGAAAATGCATGTGTACATGCAAACTGCTCAGATGAGCAGTTAAGCATAATGCATATACCGAGGACTTTTGAGTAGCAAGGTTGTAATACCTCTGTATTTGGCGACCACTACTGCAATACTGTGTTCGGTTCAGGTGTCAACAGTTCAACAAGGATATTGATACACTGAGAGGGTTCAGAGAAGAGCCACAAGAATAATTAAAGGATTGGAAAACCTGCCTTACAGTGAGAGACTGAAGGAGATCAATCTACTTAGTTTACAAAGAGACGGTTAAGGGGTGACTTAGTCACAGACTATAAGTACCTTTATGAGGAACAAAAATTTGATGATAAAGGGCTCTTCAATCCAGCAAACAAACAAGATCCAAAGGCTAGACAAATTCATACTAGAACTAAGGCACAATATTTTAACTGTGAGGGTAATTAACCATTGGGGGAAAAATTACCAAGAGTTGTGGTGAATTCTCCATCACTGGCAATTTTAAAATCAAGATTAGATATTTTTCTGAAAAGATCTCCTCTAGTTCGAATAGGAATGAATTGAGGGAAGTCCGATGGCCGGTGTTATGCAGTGGGTCAGACTAAATGATCACAGTGGACCCTTCTGGCCTTAGCCTATGAATTGCCCAACGTCCACACAAATAACGGATAATGCTTTACGTCAGAGAATCTCCAAAAACTGAAATAGGTGTCATCCCTTTTTACAGATGGGAAAACTGAGGCACAGAGGTCACCCAAGGCCACTTGTGAAGTCTGTGGCATAGAATCCACATCAGACTCCCAATCCTGTGCTTCAGCCGTAAGCCTCTTTGCTCCAACAAATCTGGGTTCTTGTGAACAAATTGATTATGTCCGTTTTTCTGTGTTAAACCTGCTGTTCCACACTGCACAGGGCCAAAAGTGAGTGAAGAATTCTTAGTCGGAATACAAAAAAAATCTGAAATCTGAAATATATCATAAATAGGCTAAGTTGTTTCTAAGGTAAGGAACAGCGAACTATAGACATCGGTCTCTTTAAGTATTCAGGTGTCAAAACAAATCCAGTTTTCATGCTGTCACTACTTGGCCTTCAGAAGTATTAGGCGTGTAGATGCATCTGAGCCACAGAGTTGAAATTCTGATAGATGCAGCTCCAAAATCTGTGTGGGTTCAGATCTGTGGTTTTGGTTTGGGCCTGTCTCTTGTTATGTCCCACTGTTCTGGAAAGTCTGCTTGCTGGCTGCTCACAACTTGTATTTCAGAGAAAATAAATACAATACTGAGATATAAAGCCAAATTTTCTGTCGTTGATAAGTTTGAGCACCCACAATTTGAGCACAGAGAAGGGAAACTAAATTCTTGGATACAGTCTTCAGCTATCCACTTCCAAGCAGGCAAACTACTTAATCTCTAGGAGGTGCGTGAGGGGAGGAAATACTATTTGCAAGGGCAAATACAAATGTTGGGACATGTAAAAATGTGGTCACTCAAAACGAAGTGGTCAAGAATGTGGGCATGTGATTTTGGATGTCATAAAAGTTAGAGGTCAGGTTCAGGCTGCTCTGAAAACTTGACCTAGACCAGCCAACACAGGAATGGGAGATTGATAAGCTGTAACTAAAGAACAAAGTGCTCTCTTTGCGGGATACAGTGCTGGAGCCATGCGATACATCTGGGATGCTGAGCATTGACAAATCAGGAGAGAAGTGTTTTCCTTTCTGCTGGGATCTTAATAAGAAACTGACTAGAGAGTGAAGTCCTCAATCTATGTCCAAAACACAGGTATCAGCACTGCACGCTGACACACCTTGCCCAAGTGCCTCTCCCCTGGCCCAGAGAGGCTACCTGTGAGGTAAGGGATAAGTCCCGTTTCCATGGCCTGTCAATCACTAGCCTGGCTGCTGGGATTGCCAAACAAGTGCCAGTTCTGATGGTGGCCAGTTTTGATAGTGTGGACACCTGTCTGCTAGGAATTGAGTCCCACTAACCAGTTCACTTAGATCCCCCCCAACAATAGAATCAGAGAAATGTTGATCTGGAAGGGAGCTTGAGAGGCCGTCTAGTCCAGCCCTCTGTGTGGAGGCAGAACAAAGTAAACCTAGATCATCCCAGAGAGATGTTTGTCCAGCCTGTTCTTAAAAATTTCCAGTGACGGGGATTCCACAACCTCCCTTGGAAGCTAATTGCAGGGTTTGACTATCCTTAGAGTTAGAAGGTTTTTCCTAATATCAAACCTAAATCTCCCTTGCTGCAGATTAAGCCCATTACTTCTCATCCTAACTTCAGTGGACCTGGAGAACGACTGATCACCAGCCTCTTTATAACAACCCTTAAGATATCTGAAGACTATCAGGTCCCCCCTCATTTTTTTCTCAAGACTAAACATGCCCAGTTTTTTTAATCTTTCCTCAGAGCTCAGGTTTCCTAAAGCTTTTATCATTTTTGTCACTGTCCTCTGGACTCTTTCCATTTTCTCCACATCTTTTCTAACATGGTGCACCAGAACTGGACAGAATACTCCAGCTGAGGCCTCAACGATGCCAAGTAGAGCAAGACAATTAGCTCCCATGTCTTACATATGACAGTCTTTTTAATACACCCC